GTGCATTCACCTCATCTTTTACACTACAATCAGACTAACACAACTTCCAAGATACGTAAAACGCTCCACAACTTCCAGTACCTCTCCCTGGATTGTAAGTGGTGTGTTCAGTGACTACACATCTACGAGCATGACGTTACACTTTGTGGATGCAAAGTGCATACGAAAGGACGGGATGACTTTGGTCAGTTCATCCAAGAATACTTGCGCCTTCTCCCCTCTTCGAACATGAGAACGACATCGTCTGCGTACTCCAGATGGACACGGTTTTCTTCACAGGCTATTTGAACACCCGGATTTTGGAGACCATCCAGCGGTCGTCCCATTACTTCACTAAATAAAAAGAGAAATAAAAGGGAAAGGAACACGCTGCCTGCTGTTTTAAATTTGAGGTTCTGTGCGACTGAAGAACGGTCATCAAATAACCCGCAACCGCAAACTAAGTAACCTCCTCGAATTTTTACCTCAGACTCACTGCTGTCTGACCGAAACTGGCCATCGTTAAGCAGTATCACATCTTTGTTTATTCACACATTTCGGAATGTCAATTGATTGGATTGCCCTAACATCGGTGTTTGAGGTTTGTTAAACCGGGCCGCACTACGAGGGACTCGACAGATGATTGAAGCGAAACTTTGATGGTTGGTATCAGTGAGATGCGTTGCCACTGTGCCGGAAATCGGTCTTGTCACGCCGTTCACAAGACATCTGGGAACAAACGGGGGTGAAGAGTTTTTGAGATTCAGTCTCAGCCTGATTATTGGACGTGGGTCGAATTTGAACTTTGTAGGCAGTGTGTGAAGGAGGTAAACGTGTCCAGTACGCTTTTACGGAGTGCTCCCTCAGGATCCCCAAGAACCACCCTATCACACAGATTGTGGGGCGGTAGGCTAAGGGAAGAACTCCAAGTGCCATATCTATTTATGTGCCTCCGATCCCTTTTTCGAGGTGCTGGTGTAACAGTGAGGGGGCATGCGATTAGTATGTGCTTTTCTCATAGTTCCGCTTGGCGTCTACCGAAAAGTGAGATTTGTTAGGGAATTTGTGGAATTGCTTTGCGTTTGGGTGATAGTCAATGAGTATCTAAAGGAGTTCAGAAAGATGCGTTCGAGAATAAGACAAATACTCAGTTTTTGTAAACAAGATGCATATGAGAGTTTTGCTTGCCTGTCCAATAGTCTGTAACTGTTCAGTTGGTGTCTTCTAATAAATAAATAACTCCTCCTCACTGGCATGCACAAGGTACGTCAAGTAACTGACAGGTAAACTATGAATGCCCCGTAGCAGCGGTAGTACAGCATAACTTTGATGGAAACTCGGGGAGTGTGTCTACCTGATGGGGCTCAGGAAGGGCGGAGCCACCCGTGTACTGTCCTAGAATTTTCAGTAACCTTAGAATTAGTTATCACTTCTATACATGTACCGGGATATCTCGAATGTCGTACTGATTGGAACATGAGACGGCCTGGTGCAGCACATTCAGTTATCTGGAAACATCAAAACCAAGAGATTCAGCTGGGTTCTAGGCGAGTCTCCCGATAAACCAAATTTGTTTGCAAATGAATGTAATTTATGCAAATTGGTTTCAAGCAGAACGTAAGGTCGACGGATACTAGGGGACTGTGTCTACCTAATGAGGCCCAAGAAGGGTGAAACCGATCGCCGGTTGTCGAAGAGTTTTCAGCAACCTTCGAGTAGTGTGTTACATCTAGACGAGTAGTTGTGGTACTCACACACAAAGCCACTACTCGTTCACTACCCATCAAACTTTGGACAGTTTCTTTCCACTAGCAAAGTGAGTTGGGTGACTTCCGTCGATCTTGCAACTGCGGCTCTCTTCCTTTTATTCCATCCAAACTCATGCGACCACAGCAGCGGTTCACGTTTACCAGGGCGTGTGGCGTGATTAGCTTCAGCCTCTTCTTACGTACCGCGGATCGACCTGTCATATTTAATCGCTCAAGCCACATTGGATCTTGATGGAACTTAGCTCAGGAAGGTGACGTGAAACTCGCAGACGTACCAGAGAAATAGCGGTTAGGGTGTGAACCGTGGTTCGAGTCCAGCGTCTTGAAAGCTTCTGTCTAGGTTTCAGCAACCTGGAACTATCTCGGTCCTCTTGTTTCCTTCGGGTTTCATGGCAGTTAGGCATCGAAAACATGTTATAACCAGACGTTTTACTTCTATAAATTAATTCTGTTTGGTGGGCAAAAGGCTTTTCGCCTCTTTCTGGTGGCAGGCCACTTCCCAAATCTGAGAAAATATAGACATAACACGCTACTCATTAGGTTGCTGGAAACCCTTCGACATCCCACAAACGGTTTCGCCCCTCTTTGGGCTCACCAGAGAGGCGCAGTATCCACGTTATGTTCTACTTAGACAGGATGTTCATCAATAAGACCTGGTACGCCAGTATATATGTTTTACCTCTTGCCCAGAAATCGATTTGTGAGGATATGAGAACATAAAGAACAGACCATTAGCACCGATCTAATACGTTCTCCAAAGAGATCTTGTTGATGGTTCCTCTGTTAGCCATAAAACTCGACTATTTTGATATTTACCCAGTCAGTCTGAAGAACCTCTTTCGTTAAGAGAAGGACTTTGCCCATCAAAAAGTTCATATATTGTTAACCAAGCGCGTCGGAACGATGACCTCTTGGTTCATCCAAAACGTCACTCTACTGACTTCTCCGTTTTCAATACCTGACCAGCCAACCACGGCCGCTTTATACAAGTTTAGGAAAGGTGGGCAACATCGTGTCCAAATCAGCCTACTGAATAACTGATAAGTAGCTTATCATGCGGAACGTTTAGACGGGACAAATTTTCGCTAATGTTACCCACTGTGGCGTTCTTGCTGAGACAGTTGGATGGACCGGTGCGAATGAATTAGAGGATTCTATCAGCTTGAATCTTGCAGACTGAATCAGGTCACTGTACTGTTGTACACTGTTCACTGGCTTATAACAAGTGCTCGACCGCTAAAGTTTATCACATCTACGTCCAAGCAAGAAAACAGCTGCTTGTTCAGGTGTGTCCAGCAAGCGCTATTGGAGTAGTGGTAACACTCTCGACTCGCATGTGGAGTTTACACCTCAACACGTCCAAGAATATGCACTGCTGATGAGTTCTAATCAGAGCGCAGCTCAAGTCCAGTGCTCCTCCGCTTTGGTGTGGAGCAACCGGAAAAACCGTATATGGACAGGAGGAGAACCGTTCCGAACAGAGTGCTGCGAACGTGAGTTCTGCGAACTGCTAAACCGCCCGCATGATCCACTCTCGTTAGCTGTCTTCCCATGTAGTTACGTTTATTGTGTAACAAGAATGTAATCCGTGGACTGCTCAGTCTAAAAGACAACCTTGCTCAAGCATAGACCTGAGTCCACTTTGTTGCTTTTGACCACGTTCCAACCGACACGCACAAGTCAGAAAATCACGCGGAACTAGAAACTGACGATGTTTTACTCTTTGGGACAGGTTAACCTCATTGGACTGAGCTTTTACTAAACGAACACAATTTCTACTTTTTTTAGAGTTGGGCGTGAAGTGGTGATCAACACGGTTTCCTATGATAAGCGACATAAGGGGCAGCAGTCTGTTGATAGCAAACAGAGCACTAGGCCTTTGAAACGCTGATAGATTGCAAAGTTGAACGCACTTCAATTCTCGGATCTTGTACAAGCGAGTTGAGACAAACGAGACCATTGGTTGATAGTGGTCTGGGAAAATTTGGAGATTTCGTCCATTCTATAAGCAATCTGCCCAAACTACCATCAAGTTACAAGGAGTTAAGCAGAAATATAATTTTTCAGGATGAATGAAAACTTCTTCCAAGGAGCCGTCAGATCAGTCAACAAGTGGCGAAGGATGAATAAAGCTATGTCCTGTCCAAGTGAGAGCTAATCAGACTGCTGTGCAACAGCTCGTAGCCGAAAGGGTACGTATTCAAGCACCAACCGGAAGTTCATCGGGTGGAGCATGAGGTTAGCATTGCTGATGATTCCCAATTCGGATGAAACATGTACAAAGGGGTTGCCGGTTATCCGCGCGCGAGTTGACTCTGTTGTGTCTTCCTATATACAGGAAGGTTTGACGTGTGTATATTACATAAAATCGTCCCGATGCGTACTAGACGGGAGCTGACATATTGCCGGTCAAGTTTGCGAGTGGGACAGGGTTTCTCACGTGATCTGTGTGCTCGCGGAGCAGGCGTGTCGTGTGATCTGGTGAACACGGATGTACTAAACAAATGGCTGAGGGAACAAGGAGATGTCCGCTACACAGTATATCTGCTACACGTGTTCTGTAGCTGTTGGTGGAGACTTGCGGAGCTCGGTTGACTTCCTGCCCTGTGTGTGTGTGTGCGCGCGCATACACGCGCGCTTCGACTCCTACCAGACGGTGTAGACGGTCAAAGGTCAATTGAGCCACGATTGTGTGGCGTGATTTGTGCGTGTACGACAAAATGTGTCTCATGGTGTATGTGACTGTTTTAACTGTCTAGTCGAGTATGTGGGTGAAGGGATGCCTACAAAACACACAACGGCTTAGTCCTAGGGGTATCTTGTAGACGGTCAAAGGTCAATTGAGCCACGATTGTGTGGCGTGATTTGTGCGTGTACGAAAAAATGAGTTTCATGGTGTATGTGACTATTTTAACTGTCTAGTCGAGTATGTGGATGAAGAGATGCCTACAAGACACACAACGGCTTAGTCCTAGGGGTATCTGGTTGATGTCAACCTTTAGAACTGCAACATTTTGAGGTAGGACTTTTGTACAAGATTCTAGGCTGGCGTAGGGCCAAGAAGAACCAGACCATACATGAATATATGTGAAAAACGCACATTAAGGGCTTTAAAAACGAGTCACAGGTGTATCTGTGCCTCCGATAGATTTACTTGCCATTGGTCTCGAAATGTCACGCAAATCATTTGTAAGCTACTCACAGTGTTTAAGTAGGTGAATGAAAGAACGAATAGTCCAATCGTCTGTTCACAAACTTTCGCTGCTCTAGCTCCAGTCCGTTGGTCCCGAGAAAATCCTCGAGCATGGAACGCGACAGCTTCGTTTTTAACAAGCCAGTGCAACAGTTACAATGGCCTTCACGCTAATGGACTTTCAATTTTCATTGATCTGGGCTGTTGCTGTATTGATTGTGTAGTAACGGTATTCCTTTCAGCTTAGTTCTCGGTCTGAGCCTCTCAAGCTAGCGTTCACGTCCAGAAAAC